TGCTGAGCAGGTTTGTTTAAGCCACTAGCTAATTTGGCCAGCATCTTGTACAAGATAAAAGGAAAAAAAAAAAAAAAAAAAAAAAAAAAAAAAAAAAAAAAAACATTCGCTAATGAAATGCCAGGATATAAAAAGACAACAAGAAACAAAGTCCAACACAAAAGACAACAATTTCAATTAGACAAAAAAGTATGATCCTACCTTGTTATGAGCAATCCCCGCAGAACAAGTAAATTCAGTTTCTTTCAGGACATTGTTCCTGAGTTCTGCAACAATAAGGGCCCCACAAGACAGCAACTTATCATTATGGTCAGCATCACTTCGTTGAAGCCAAATTTTCACACATTCTTTGGCATCAGTGCCATCCTGAATGAAAATCCAGTTGACTAATCATTACTATACAAGACTAACCACAGTGAAGATTGCAAATTACAAACCCAAAACAAAACAGAGTTAACTTCTATTGTTAATAAATCATTACAATATTTATTCTAAGTCGGTTACTTGAAGGCTCAGGCTAGGGGCTTGTCCTAGTCCAATTAAGCTTATTGTTTAGCTTAATTGCTTGACTTCTTTGTGTTGGAGCTATTCCCTCCTACTTGGAGGATGTAGTCCATATATATGTTGGGCTATACATGTTATAACCATGTGGGCATTTAGTTTTGGGGCCCATATGAAGAAGTGTAAGCAAGTCAAAGAAAGGGGGTTGAAATAGTGTGAGAGCTGCTGGAAATCAGCTTACACAGCAAGCCAATCTTACGCACAAAACAAGAGGAAGGCAGAGAAGGAAAAAGGGGATTTCACCGTGGAAGTTGTCATGCTTTTCTACTCAATCGGATGGTCAAATGTTGCCCGATCAACTCCAAATATTGACATAACGTTCCCACCATCCCATACTACATATCCAACTGTTGGATTATCGTTTTGTGCTCCGGATGTTTGTAATCTTTATTCATCCCTAATCTCTCCATAATTGAGTTTATTTACTTGTTAGTGATGTATATGGAGAATGGTTTGTTCCAAACCTATTGTTTGATGTTGTAAAGCCTCTAGCATCGTTTAGAGAAGGTTAATTTGGTGTACCCATTAATTATTGTTGTTTAGTGGAAGGGCTTGGTAACGCTTACGGTACCCGTGGTTTTTTTTTTTCGGTTTAGGTTTCCACATATATCTTGGTGTGCTTTATTTTTATTGCATTTGGGCTATTTAGAATTGATTGTTGTTATCCATATTGTGTTCACTCAAGATTGGTAATATTTTCCCATTCTACAACAAATTAGGGAAAATGAGATCGTCGTGCTTTCGCTTGTGATTGTCTATTGCGTGTGCATCTTTTCTAACACTTTGTGTGAGTTTGCTTACTTGTTTGCTTAATCTTAATGAGTTTAAGAACATTAAACACTTAGTGACTAGGAGTAGACTAAGGGTTTAATCTCAATATAAATAGCGTCCTAGTGTTGGTTAATTAGTTTGAGGATTCAAATCATAAAATTCAAGAGTGAACTTGTGAGGAGAAATATCGGTTCTATTGAATCTATCTTCAAGAAACTATCAAAGGTCGGAGATTTATTTCAAGATTGTTTGATTTCTAAAAACTTGACTATACAAAAAATAGGATTCACATCAATTTGGAGATTTAGTTTTAAGAAAAAAATAGTAACGTGGAATTTATTTTTAAAAATATATATTGACTTTTTTATATATAATTTTTACTTGTTGATGCCTATAAGTTACGCATTGGCAAGTGTGAAAAGTGAAATGTTATGATGAGTGCCATTTATGGCACTTTAAGGGTAGTGTTAAGCTTTATTTTTTTCCTTCTTTTTATAGCTTTCTTTTTAAATAAATGTCTAATTTTGTCTCTTTGAATGAAGGTCTTTCTTTAATTGTAGCAATTTGTTCTAGTAAGATGTGAATTCCTTTGCACTAAATTTTTCTCTAGCATTTATGTTTACCTGAAATTCTTTCAGATTAGTTGATCTTAGTTGATTTCATAGCTTAATTGATTCTATAGTTGATCTCTTGCTTAAATTCAATGGTGATTATGTCTTTGTTTGATTTAGTTTTTGAATTTGGTAGAATCATGCTTAGTGAATAGATTCTTAGCTAGGGATTAGGGTGAATCATGTTTTGATGGTGATTTGAGTTAGAATTTGGGAAATTAATCAAAGTTACCTTGTGATTAAATGTGATTAGGTGAGGTTTGCTTGTTGATTATTGACCTAAGATTAGCTATCCTTGTTGATAAGCATTCCATGTTGGTCCTTGTTTGGCATGGGAATGTGAACTTGGATCACCATAATTGATAGCATTTTTGATCTTATATCTCCTTGGATTGAGTCTTAGAGGGATCTAGGCTTGCGAATTTGAGAGTTGCTCTTGATTGGTATTGATTGCTCTATTCATCCTAGTCTTTGCATAGTAATGATTGATTGATTCCCTATTTCTATCTCAATTGCTTGAAATCATGAGAATCCCAACTCCCTAGTATCTTTATCATTTGATACGTTTTCAATTTGCATCCTTAGCTTGGTTATAATTTAGCTCAAACATTCACTACTTGACTTCATAATAGCTTAGTCTTAGGCCATTGCAATTAGCTTTCCCTTTCCTCATGCTTCAACCTCGTGCTTGCTACTTACTAGTATCTTGCTTGAGCATTTCTAAATTGTTTGATATCTAAGATTTAGTTAACGACCTATTAGCTTGTCATGTTGCAACTAATTTAAAACAAAGGAACAACACATTAAGCACCAGAATAAATTTAACCTTACATCAACAAGACCAAGAACATGCGACTTCAAAGCCTCGTCATCCAAGCTCTCTGGAGGACTCTCTGCTAACATGGTTTCTGCTGCATCAGTAAGATCAAGATAAACTTCATCAATTGATGCTCGTTCACACCGACCCATCTTAGCAAGGATTGAAACCACCTATACATCATATTTACTTGTAAGGCACATTTTACTAGTTTTAAAAAGGATGTATAAGTAGATACAAACAGCATCTTGAAATTTTCATACACCTCTGAACCTGCATCACGGTAAATACTAAGATCAGCTTTGCCACGTGCAATTGGCACTTGAACCAGCTGAATTTGTGGACAAACACTTTTAGCTTCATCACCACGCATGGAACTAAAATGCAAGTATTACAATCAGGCCACAGATAATAACAAATAAAAGTACTGAATCTGCACTTAGTTATTATAATACCGTTTAACACCAAATTTTCTGGCCTCATAGCTAACAGCAATCAAACCACCTCCTTTCCATTCATTGTATTGAACAACAGCAGTAGGTAGACCCCTCAGTTGTGGTTGTTTCCTCTGCTCCACTACAGAAGGCATGATATATATATAGGCTTAGGAAATGTTTTAAAAGAAAGCATAAAACTAAACGCCATAGTGGATGCAGAGATTTGAGCTAAGACTAATTAGTACAATTAAAAAAAAAAAATTAAAAAAAAAAATAAAAAAAAGGCAATATTATGTAAGAGTGTAACCATTACAGATAATATTTTATTAGTTACACCCTAAAGTACATCATTGATTCATCAAAAATATATACAGAGTACGCACGTTTTATCAATGTAAAGAACACAGAGCTCTATAAATGGATCCGCAAGATTACAAAGATATTTAAGGAAATTCTACAGTAAATAGACTAAAATAACAGAGAGCAATCTATGCCACCACAAGGACAACAAAACACTTAGATTGCTAAATCACACCGCAAAACAGCAATAGGAGCAATCAATCAATTAGAATTTAACTATAAACTACACAAACAAAAGTCTATTTCCCACTTAATCCATTATACTATTATGATCATGAACAAACAAGGGCTTATGATGCCACTCTCCTCACGCGGAAAACCTCGCAAATCAATTAATTTAAGCACAAAAATCAACTAATGTAATCCCATCAAAACCCCCCTCCCAAATCCTAAACCTAACCACCCAATCGTTTCTAATTACGCATCTTAGAAACACAAATATTAGATGGAAAAAAAGGTGTTAATCAACTAGTACAAATAGAAGAATAACTGTATGAATGCTTACACAATCAAACAGATTCAGAATTACCAATCCAGAAATTAAAAATATAAATAATAAATTGGAATAGAATTGAGTAAGGAAAAAGAGTAGTATACAGACCTTGGACATAGAAGCAGTCCATGTCGAGGTGAGCAATGACCCTTGCCTCTGACGATGCAGGTTTTGCCACCGGCATTTTGTCCGATGTTTTCTCTTCCTTGTTAACTTTTTTCCCTCCAGTTTCAAAGTTAGGGGCCAACACTGCCTTGGCTTCCCGGTAACTTCCACCAAAAGAGGAAAGGATGACCTATCTAGTACAATAAGGCTACACATTAACACATACATCTTGAGGTGTCAATTCGACAATTCAAGTGTTTCAGTGGGGATCAGTGGGGTCGGGTTTATTTAAACTTAAGTCATGCTAAATTATTGCGTTTATGCGATTTGAAATATAAATCGGTTACTAGCTATTGGCTCGGACAATGTTCCGAGCCGTTTCAGTAAGTATATTTTAATTTTAATGGGTTTAATATACATTAGTTTGATATTATAATAAAAAATTAACATAAATAATCTGAACTATTCACCATCTTCTCATTTTAATCCAAAGTACAGGGTAGTTGCTCATATTAGTTTGAGCAAGTTTAAACAAGTTAACTTACTCGTGTGGGGCCCACTTTTGTTACTTTAACTGAACTGCTATTCGTCGTTCGCAAATTATTGGGTGACGTTCACATTTTTAATTGAAATGACATTTTTGCCCTTGTGGGTATTTTATCTATTTAAGGGTCCACCATGGGTAAATTTAGTTACCGACAACATTAAAAACATTACCGAGCCCACCACTTGTGTTAAAAAAATCCCGAGCATTAAAAAATCTCGGTTCCACCATTGTACGGTAATCCCGAGGAATTTAAAAATCCCGGGCCAGAAAAGGAAAGTGTACGGAGTGATGTTTTACGATGGACGACGACAACGTTCACACGCCGAAGGGTTCGACGGAAGAATCTGTAAGTATTTCGGAATTTTTTTTTTTTTTTTGTAAATAGGACATCCGCTTGTTTTTTCCGGAAATCTGGGGGAGATCCGCCCAAAATTTCCGGATGTCCCCAATAACATCCGGAAATTTCAGGCGGATGTACACATCCGGATGAAATTTCCGGATGTAATTGGGGACATCCGGAAATTTTGGGCGGATCTCCCCTAGATTTCCGGAAAAAACAAGCGGATGTCCTTTTTTTTTTTGTTTTTTTGTTTTTTTTTTTTTACGTAATTGTTATTGTTATTATTATTATTATTATCATTATTATCATTATTATTATTATTATGGTTATTAATATTAGTTTTGTTAATTTTGTAAATTTCTGTTATGATTATGATTATTATTAATATTATTACTACTATTATTATTACTACTATTATTATTACTATTATATTAGTTATTATTTGTTAATGTTACGTAGTTATTGTTGTTATTATTATTAGTATTATTATTGTTATTGTTATTATTATTATCATTAGTATTATTATTGTTATTATTATTATCATTAGTATTATTATTATTATTGTTATTGTTATTATTATTATTATTATTATTACTAATAATACTATTAATATTATTATTGTTATTATTGTTATTTTTATTATTATTATGATTATTTGTATTATTATTGTTATTATTATTGTTAAATTTAAAATAGTAATCCTTGCGTGTTTTATTTGTTTGTATTGTTATTTTGATAGGATTCGGAGGTTGAAGACGACGGTGACGTTGTGAATTACAGTGCACATTTTGTGACAGACACGGTTTTTCTAACGTTTGACGATGCAGTTACATGGGCGGATGCTGTTGCAATAAATCTGGGATTTATTTTGGTGAAATCGTCTTTCAACAAACAGAGGGATGGTCGACCAGTTCGATATTTAAGATGTGACCGGGGACGCAGGAGTAAGCCGAGAGATCTTGAGAACGCAATTCGGAAGGACACCAAAACCAAGGGCATTTGTTGTCCTTTCTACATCAAGATATGTTACGAGTTCGTCAGCAATACTTGGTTTCTCTGGGCGAAAGATGATGTAACTGGGACCCACAACCATCCAATGATTGCGTATCCAGAGGGTCATCGTAAAATTAGTGGGTTAAGCCCGAAAGCGAAGCAGGTTATGCGTGACATGACGAAGTCTAAGGTTGCACCGCGTAACATCATGGCGACTATTGCGGAGCAATTTCCTGATGATCATCCAAACATCAGACACATCTACAACTGCCGGAATGACTTCAGAGAGGAGATGTCTAATGGGAGAGGAGCTGTTCATCAATTTCTACATTTGGTGAGACAGAGTCAGTATGTTTACTGGGTCATGTCCGATAATGAAGGCGTTTTACAGCACGCCTTTATGGCGCATCCAGTCATGATAGACATCCTACGGACGTACCCCTATGTGATCGGTATGGATTCCACTTACAAGACTAACCGATACGGGATGCCGTTCTTTGAGATAGTTAGCGTGACACCAACAAATTAGAATTTTCTCGTCGCTTACGTGTTCATGCGCAACGAGAGCACGGCAAGCTATCGGTGGGTTTTGCAGAGGTTGAGAGACGTGATTGGGTATAATAAGGAGCCGTCGGTTTTCTTGACAGACCGTGAGCTTGGGCTATGTGCTGCATTGAGGGAAGTGTTTCCAGGAACCTCGCACTTACTTTGTCGATGGCACATTAACAAAGATGTGGAGGCTCGGATCATTGCTATGTTCAAAAGCAAGAAAATCGGTGCGTCTTTCAAAAACGGAAAATGGAAACGTATCATGGACGCTGCAACCGAGGAAGATTATGAGGCCGCTGTAGAAAACATGAAAGATAAGTGGGCAAGTTTTCCAGCAGTGATACAATATGTAGAGAACACATGGCTTTGTCATAAAACGAAGTTCGTGACATTTTGGACAAACCAAGTTCTACATTATGGCAGCACCAGCACTTGCAGAGTTGAGAGCCAACATTCGGCCGTGAAGATGTGGTTTGATTCCTCGACAGGTTTGGTGTAAGATTATTGAACTTCATGTATGTACTTTATTTTAGGAATTTAAGTTACAAATCATAACGGTTTTTCTTTGTAATGTGCAGGTTCTTTAGATACCGTATGGGCTCGAGTTCATAGCCACATTGGTAATCAAATCATCGCAATTCGTAATGGTTTAGAGGCTTCTAGGTCGAAGATAGGTCAAAAGTACCGATAGTTGCCACTGTCACGTATAAACGGGAAGGTGTCTCAGCATTGTTTGAAGGTTCTCGATGAGGAGACAAGGAGGATGAGGGAGCTGAGTTATCAAGTGCACGAACGATGTGGATGTGCAATGCGTGTGACCCACGGGTTGCCTTGTGCATGCCAGATACATGATTCGCTAGCTGCTGGGACAGGATTGTACATAAGGCAAATTCACCCGTTTTGGAGGACCTTGGTTATTGGTTCTGGAGATGGTGGGACGGTGCCTGGCAATGACTCGACCGAGGATGCCGCACATTTTCTTTCTCTGATGGAGGAGGTGTTTGATAGTGATCCTGCTGTTCTTCGAAACGTGTCTCGCATCATTGAAGAGGAGCTGCATCCGGATCACTTGGATCTCAGAGAGCCTGCTGTAAACCACCGGGTTCGTGGTCGACCAAGAAACAATGATACAAGACGTTATCGTTCTTATTTTGAACATGTAAACCGCCAACACACTGAACGCGGCGCACGACAAACAGGTACGATTGAGTGTTGTGTTTTTCACATAAATCAGCGTTCACTAAACTATTAACTGAAACCTACATTTGTGCAGGAGATGTAAACGACATTAGCCAAAGCCGTTATCGACACATGCTTCCAGGGCCGATGTTGCCTTACATCACAAGATGGAAGGATGTCATTGGCGATGGGAACTGTGGGTTTCGTTGTGTGGCCGAGTTCTTCTTCGGTGATCAAGGCTGATGGTATGACGCTCGAGAGACAATAGCGAATGAGGTCCTCGGTTATCGAGCCCTATATGAGAGGATTTATGGGCTTGGAAGACTTGAGATCAATGTGCAGCGTATTCGATGGGACGGTGGGGCGGTTGATTCCCATCATTAGATGGTTGCAATACAAGATTTATTTCCTATTGCGACTTGGTTCAACGCAGCGGTTATTATTCTTGGTGTAGGCCAAACACCAACTTGCTACTACCTATGCCTCACGATATTGCCGTTGCGGGCAAGAAGGGGGGTCACAGCACCGGAGCGAGAGTTTGTCATCGCTACAGTTGGGGCCTCACATTTTATTTGTATTGAACTTGCACCTGATTCGCCACTTCCCCCGATTGCAGGTTGGTGGACCGAGCACCACGACCCAAGTGTTGACGGTTGGGATCAGCGTTACGAAGCTAGAAGGAACATGTGGGATGCCTTAATTAGATAGTGAACATGTTGTTGTACTTTCATTTATGTTAAACAGTTGTCGTTATGTAATTTGCAACGAATTGAACTTAATTAAACAAAATATTTACAAAACCACCAAAACAGTTGTTCAATACTTAAAGTACGTGACGAATAAATAGTACATAAACGAAATGCGTACAAGGGAAATAAAAAAAAAACAGGAAGTTCATAACCCCATCATCGCCCTCCAATCAGCTCGTAGCGCCTCAGCCATTGCTCTTGTATCACGCGATAGGCTCGGATACTCCACCAGGGTCCTGTTGATGACCTCCATAGACCGACCCATCCACTTCAATTAAGAAAACAACATATTAAATAAATCACAAGTTTTTTTAAAAAAAAACAACATATTAAAAACAACATATTAAAAAAATCGGATTTTAAAAACAACATATTATAAACAACATATTAAAATAGCAACTTATTAAATTATACCAAAAAATACAACTACTTACGTAATCCGTGTTAGTTCTCTCTGGCAGTGTGCGACTCTCATGTGATGACGCAACTGGAGAAACACGTGGATGAGAAAATCGGTACAGCCACTGCATGTAACCAGGACCGACTGTAGGAGCACCACCACCAAGTCTGCTGAGGGCACCTACCACGACACTAAAAGACATACCAGGGACAAACCGAGTCCACATCACAGATGTCATCTATGGCGGAAAGTCAACCCGATACATCTTCAAGTTCGTCGGTCTCTTAGCCTTCTCAAGCCTGATAATGGCTGGTGGAATGCCCTGGACGTATCCAAGTTGCCGAACCACTCGATCAGGCATGTATGGCTCAATGATGCTACGATACTGGATGCAGCCAATGAAAAGAGTAGCAGGCACGCGTCGTGCTGGATCAACTCCGTACGGTAGCCAGTTAACTTCATTGTCAGTCAAATGATCCAACCTAGCCCGAAAAGCGAGAAGGCGCTCCATGCTCTTGTTAGGGCACCCCGATCCAACATCCCAGGCGGACGCACGAGGAATAGCAAGCTCTCTGGTCAAGGTCCCCTGCTGAGGCCGGAAACACGAAAAGTACTCGTAGATCAACGCCTGTAGAAGCGTAAGGCAGCCAGCGATAGAATCAGCATCTCTTCGTGATGTTGTACCCAATTGCCGGTACATGTATGCTAGCACAGCAGAACCCCAGGAGTACTCACTAATCTGAACATCCTCAACAAACAGCTCGTTGAGGAAGGAAGGATGAGTACGGTTTCCACTCTTGTCCAAAAACAAACAACCGCCAAGTACTAACCACAGGTACGCCCTGTAATGGAAACTGAAGGGCCTCTGCGCCTCCAAGGTTGACTCCACTATCCTCTCAGTCAGGACCCCACTACCCTGCCATACGGTTTTGGTACCGCACTTCTCATTCAGCTCTTCCTCAGTCATATCCAAGGTAACCGAGCACGCGTCCCGTAAAACGTCCGTGCTAGGAGTAGTGGAAACCATGGAACCGTCGACACGAAGCCCTAGAATATGATACACATCATGCAGCATGATCGTGATCTCCCCAAAAGGCATGTGAAACGTGTTCGTGTCTGGATGCCATCTCTCAAGGCTCGAGGACCCGGAAATGTCTTCCCTGAACCATGACTCTAGGGTAAGATCCGACCTTTGAATTTTAATAATACTATATGAAACCCGTGTGATACACGATTTGTTTACATTTTTTAAAACAAATATTTTATGTATTTATGTGATAAATTTTATATTATTCGTTGTATGTATTATATCATTTAATATTTATATTTTTAAAAAAATTGTGAATTTCCTCTCGTTATATATTTAAATAAAATTTCTAATGTTAAAAAGATAATATTTTATATTTGATTAATTTAAACTCTAAAATCTCATTTGTCAATTTTGCTTATGTGGCACTTGAATTATTTAATTCTAAAGGAAATCACAAGTCTTTTAATTTATTGGCTATAACTACTTGAATTTTTTATTATAAAATGAATTAATAGTTTTGTTCTCATGTTTATAGAAATTCCATATATAATAATACAATATTTTATTTATATAATTAATTTAAAATTTAATTCTAAAATAAATTGCAATTTTTTCATTTGCTAAAATATAACAATTTTTCTATGTGGCGCTCTAAAATATTAATTTTATTTACCCAAATAAAGAATTTAATTTTATTCATGATAATATTTTTAAAAAATAATAATCTAATGTGTCACTCTAATATATTTTTTTATTATAATCCTACTTAACGCCTTAAAAATACTAATCTTACATGGCATAATCCTATTGTAGTGTTTTAAAAATATTAATCCTATGCGGAGCTCTAAAATCTCGAAAAAAAATAATAATCTTATATGTTGCTCAGATTAATTTTATTTATTTTTTATTATAATCCTACCTAACGCTTTAAAAATACTAATCTTACGCGGCATAATCCTATTGTAGCTTTTTAAAAGTATTAATCATACATGGTAATCTAATAATTTTTTTAAAAATTATAATCCTACGTGGCGCTCTAAAAACTTGGGAAAAAACTCCCCTTTTTATATATACTAGTTTTGGGCCCGGGCAATGCCCATATGGTTGATAAAATTTTAAGATAACATTTTTTTTACTTGAATGTTAAATACGGTCAAATAATTTGTTCTGATAATGTAGGATATTTAGATATACAATATCATATGGAGTGTATTTTATATAGTTTTATTTGTAATAGATATTTATGTTATTATTGACTTGAAATTATTTTCATTGAACTTAAATTATTTTTTTATTGACATGAAAGTATTTTTACCAAACTAAAATTATTTGGAAAATTTGTCAAAAATAAGCCAACCTTTGTCCGGTTAGCTCAAAATAAGTCAACCTTTTGATTAACTAAAAATAAGTCGGCATTTATATAGTATCTTCTCAAAATGAGTCATGACCTGTTGAATTTTGGGATAACCAGTTGTTTTGGTAAACTATGCCACATGTCATTATGTGGTTGGTCCTTTAATAAAAAAAATTAATTAAGATTTAGTTTTGATTAATTATTTTTATTTAAAAAAAAATTCAATTAACAATAATATCAAATAAAAAAAATAAACTGAAAAAAAATCCTAGCCACCCCTAGCCACTGCCCGCCCCCTCCCCTGCCACCGGTCACCGGACGACGATCAACCCCCTCCCTCGGCGCAGGCGACCAACCCCACTCCCTTCCTCACACCCCCACCCCGACGACCACTTCTCTCTCTCTCCTCTTTCACTCTCTAGTTCACCGGGAATTCGCCACACAAAATATGGGTTTATTTTTAACATATCTTCTCCCGGTTTATTTTCTGATTCAATTCTAACGGTTCCGACTGCTTCAACGAGGTCAACTGGGTTGGTTTCGGGGGTTGATTTAAGGGTTTAATGCGGCATTACCTGGGTGGGGAAGGGCACGGGTGTCAACTCAATGTCGGAGAAGCGAGAAAGGGGGAAGAGAGGGGTGGGGGTGTCGACATGGGTGGGGGAAGGGAGGATCTAAGGGAAATGGTCGCTGGCAGTGGCAGGGGGAACTGGTGGGGATGGAGGATGTTTAGATTTTTATTTATTTATTTTTTAAAATTTGTTTATTTAATGTAATTATAATTAACATTTAATAAAATTTAATTAATTTTTGTAATTAAAATATGACTTGTTTAGTAGGTTGTAGGTCATTGGACCTATTAAAAGAAAATACTTTTAAAAGTCGACTTATTTAGAGTTAATCGGAAAGTTAACTTATTTTGAGCTAATCACGTAAAGGTTGGCTTATTATTCTTGACAAATTTTCCCAATTATTTTTACTGATTAAAACTTATTTTACTGATTCTCTAATTTTTTTTAAATAAATTAAATAACAATGCATTTTGTATGCGGCTAACCACACCATCTGGCCAGACAAAGTAACCTCTGTAAAACTTCGAGTAACCTCTGTAATACTAACTGAGTAACCTCTAACACTAACTAAGTAACCCCTATCTATAACACTGATTGAGTAACCACTATAACCTGATCAAGTAATCCTTATAGCACTAACGAAATAACTTTTGTAATAGTTGGTGACACGGTTTGGCCAGCTACGTATAAAAATTTGCGATTAAATAGATTAAAAATGGATCTTATTTTAAAAAACTATTTAAAATGAATTTCATGATGGAAATAGAATTGAGTTCCAAGATATTTATTAAAAGTTAAAATTAATTTTGTATATATGAAATATTATAATTTTATCAATAATAAAACTCTATGCAACAATTTATCTTAAGAAATCTATCCAAAAATCACTTACCTAGCATCATATGTGTCACAATAATACCTATTTATCTCCTACATGGCGCGACACTTGGCGAAAATTGGAATGCCAAGTTTCGCTGTCTCGTGGGCTGGCTGCGATATATATATATATATAATATATACATATGTATATATATATATATATATATGCATATATATATGTATGTGTGTGTGTGTGTGTATATATATATACATATATATATATATAGGGTCGGGATCCGGTGAGAACCTTCATCTATGTGAGAACCAATACTAGCCATTAGATTTTATGAAATTAAACGGTCGAGATTAAAATACAAAGCTGAATAACAAAACCACGAATAACTTCATCTTCATTCGACTTTCTCAATTATTCTATCTGCACAACGAAGCTCTGTGATTATCAATGTCGACTGATTAATCAATTTGAAGGCTTAACAATTTTTATTTCATCATCTTTTTTACAAGTACGAATAACTTAGATTAAAGAATTTGAAGGCTCGATAATTATCAAGGTTTGTTCAACTTTTCAATTTCTATTTTACTGCTCTCTGAAAATTTCGAATTGCATAAATTATTAAGGTTTCATCAATTATTGAAATTTTTGGAATTTCATGAATACAACGAAAAACTTATTAGTGATTTTAATGATCTCAGATTAAACTTTTCATCAAAATTTAAGAAATAATATTAGATTTTAGTAACTACAATTGCAATCGTTGCTACAAAATCGAATTCGCCAAGTAGTTGTTTATTTTCTTCAATTTTACTCTCTAAATTGTCGATTTGTTTGATTTTAATAATTTGATTGCCGGTTTGCAATCAAGTTTAAAATGAGCAAATAAATTGAAAATGAGCAAACCTAAATATGTGTAATAATATAGAAAAAATATAATGAGCAAACATAATTAAAATGAGCAAATAAAAAAAAAGAGCAAATATAAAAATGAGCAAATAAGGAAAATAATTTGGTGATGGTGGTGATGGTAGGGTGCAGGGGATAGCGGTGGTGGCAGGGGAGTGAGAGTGAGACAAATTGTGGTGGTGATGGTGGTGGTGGTGGTGATGATGGACGATGTAAGGAAGAGTGTGAGAAATACTCATTGTTGCATCTTGTTGCTGTTGCTAGGATAGTTTGTTTTGTTGGGCTTGTGCTTTCTAAATACTTATTTGCTCATTTTGAAAATGAGCACTGAGTTATTTGCTCATTTGACAAATGAACATTCAATTATTTGCTCATTTCCTAAATATGTGTAATAATATAGTAAAAATATAATAAGCAAACATAATTAAAATGAGCAAATACAAAAAAAAAAAGAATAAATATAAAAATTATCAAATGAGGAAAATAAGCTGGTAATGGTGGTGGTGGTGGTAGGGTGCAGGGGACAGCGACGACGGTAGGGGAGTGAGAGTGAGACAGGTTGTGGTGATAATGGTGGTGGTCGTAGGGTGCAGGGGTAGAGAAAGGAGAGAGAGTTTGGTGGTGGTGGTGGTGATGTTACGGTGTAAGGAAGAGGGTGAGAAATGGAAAAAATCAAATATATCATAATCAGTAAATATATCATACATGTTCTATTATAAGCAGCAAAGTTGATTACTTGTTCACTTTTTGTTGCACAAATATAGTGTTTTTTATGATTAGTAGTAAAATTATTTCACATGGTTTGAATTGGGAGTTTTTACATGTCATACTTTGTAGTGTAGATCATACTCTACCTTCTGCTATTCAACCCCTTATTCTGCCCCCCAACTACTGCTCCCTAATGGCTGCCATCCTTCTACTGTTCCCCTTCTTCTCTTATTATGTTTTCTATCTTACTGTGTAATTGACTTGTTATTGAGCAAAATAGAATTAAAATGAGTAAATATAATAAAAATGAACAAACAGAATTTAAAATGAGCAAATATAACTAAAGCTATATTTTCTACTTTATTATATTCTTAACTTTTTTTTTGTAACTTTCGGCAGAAATGATTAGCAATAATGAACAACGTAATAGAGATTCTAGTGCCAATGACAATGTACCATTTACTCCTATAATAGCACCTTTATTAACTCCTGGAGGAACAAAAGAATGGATTCCATCATGCTCCAATGAGTTAAAACCAGCTTTAGGGGTGAAGTTTAATAACGTTGATGAGGGTCTTGCATTTTATAAAGCTTATGCATATGTTGCGGGATTCAACACAAGGAAGTCTACCACTAGAACGGAAAAAGGAAGCAAAAAATTGAAAATGCAATATATATTATGCAATAAGGAGGGTTACAAAGAGAAGAGAAAGCCTAACGTTGAGATAAATTTATATGACAAAGAAAAAGAAAACAATGAAAGAAAGGCTTCAATCACAAGGAAGAGACTAGTCATCCGTGTTGGATGCAAAGCACACATGGTACTAAAGTATTGTGATGATGACAAATACATGGTCACACATTTCCATGAGGGACATACGCATCCACTTTATACACCTAATTGCAATCTATTTTAAAAAGAAGGGAGAAAAATGAACATTTTGCACAAAAAAATAATTGTGAATAATTCTAAGGTAACACTTTCAAAGACTTTTATATTTATATAATTTTTTTTGTTCTAAATAGACACCCTTATGTTTCATGAATTCTCTATATGTTCTAATAAAATCTGTTTGCTCATTTGAAAAATGAGCATTGAATTGTTTGCTCATTTGAAAAATGAGCATTAAATTGTTCGAATGAGCAAGCAAATAATTAAATGAGCATTAAATTGTTTGCTCATTTTAAAAATAAGCATTGTATTATTTGCACATTTGACAAACTGTTTTGTTCTTTAAATAGGTGAATATTGGTCCCGTTACAACTTTTCGAATGATGAAGGAAATTGTTGGAGGATATGATAACATTGGTGCATCTAAGCAAGATTTTAAAATTTTTCATAGAGATTTAAAAGCGTACATTCAAGGAAGTGATGCTCAAATATTCATGGATAACTTTACCAACAAAAAGCTAATGTGGAGCGCTTTTTTCTTTGATTTTAAGATGGATGAAGATTATTGCCTCTGTAGAGCATTGTGGGCAGCCCCCCTTTGTAAAAAGAGTTATGCTCTATTTGGTGATATGGTATCCTTTGATACCACATACCAAACCTATAGGTAATACATAATAATCACAATTCATTTCTGTTGAGTCCCTTAGGTTTTGATTGATAGTTTTGAATGATGACAAACAGCTAAGGGAAACAAGTCTTTGAAAGTGTTCAATACAGTTGGGGGAACCAGCTAAAATAGAACACTGTTTCCCTAGATAAGTTATTACTTATATGAGATATTTGTTGAACTAACTTATCTTTATACATGGAACAGTTAGATGATGAATGAGCTATGCACTGGTAGGAAACCAGTATAAACTGTTTTCTCAAACTGCTTTTATGAAAGGCAATTACTTATTTAGTATTGTACATTAACTTTGTTGAATGTGCAGTATCTAAGTTGATTTCTAAGACTGGAAGCTTGAAAGAATTTTCGATCAAATTAAAGGAAGGTCCTTTGGTCAATAATTGAGTTCATTCATGGAAGCTTTCAAGACTTAACGAATGCATGAAGGAAGACTACACTCAAAGAGTTATTTAGGAACTTCATGTAAATGCTCCGTAGTATAACTTATATAATTGAGTATATAAAGTGCTTTTAGTATATTAAATATCGTTATGAAATTTGGTACAAGGTTTGGAACAAATTTCATAACATATTCAGTTCAGGGAACCAGGCCAGGGAACCAGGTTAACTGAACAGATTATTCAAGCTGCCGTTTTTACAAAGATTTTATAAAAAGATATTTTCCGAAAAATATTGATTTAAAATATATCCAAGCAGCTAAGAATAAAGATGATATTTTTGGTTAGCTAAAAACTAGGAAGTATTTTATCTTAAATTGATTTTATCTTGTGATCAAATCAATTAAGATAAATACTTACCATAAATCGTATATATCTTATATGCATGATTTAAGGTAACTAGGGTTTAGCTAACTAACCTATAAAATACATCTTATTCTGAATAATCAGATACGGCTCTCACGCATTTTAATAGAGTTTTATTTTTGAGAGCTAAAAGCACTAATTCAATTATTAAGTGATACACAAGAGCATAATAGTGTTTTAACGTTTTTCTCTATTTGACTTTTGAGAGTTAGATCATTAGAGAGTTCTTGATCTTGTATTAAGTCTTTGACAGAGGGGTTGAAGACTTGGTGAGTGTTTGTGAGTTCAAACACACTAGGAACTTACGAGGGTAAGTTTAGAGCACATTCGGAGTAGAGTGTGGGGTTTACTGGTTCCCGGAGTAGGGAAACAGTAGATTGTTCTTTGTCTTTATTTTTCGGAGTAGATTAATAAAGGACTTAGGATAGGAGGACGTAGGCCAGAGTTGGCTGAACCTCGTTAAATCTGTGGTGTTCTTTATTGCTTTGTTTTATTCCGCTGCATAAGGGAACCAGCACAACTGGTTCCTTACACATAATCCGAAAAGAAGCAAAAATCGCTAACGATTACTTAACACTCAATTCACCCCCCCCCTCTTGAGTGCCCATTGAACCTTCAATTTCTATGTTATAACTATGGCTTAACTTAATGTCTTTATTTTAAATGAACTTTGTATAATTGTTTGCTTACTTCAATGTGAAAAGTGAATATCCCCATAAGTCTAATTTTCTTTGATAAGAGTATGTATGTGGGCGTTAAATTTCATGTTAATTTGACAAATGAGCATTGAATTATTTGCTCATTTGACAAATGAGCAAATAATTGTTTGCTTATTTCACAAATGAGCATTGAGTTATTTGCTCATTTGACAAATGAGCATTCAATTATTTGCTCATTTGACAAAAGAGCAAAGAATTGTTTGCTTATTTCACAAATGAGCATTGAATTATTTGCTCATTTAAAATTTAATCTATATGTGTAAACAGGTACAACATGGTGTTTACTCCATTTACAAGGGTTAACCATCATAAGAGCTACATTACTTTTGCTGCTGGTTTCATAGCAAAGGATGTTATTGTGTCATTTGAGTGGTTGTTCAGATCATTTCTCAAGGCAATGGGGGGAATGAACCTAATTATATGATCACGGATCAGGATCCAGCGATGAAAGTATCTGTTAAAAGTGTGTTTAAGAAGACTGAACATCGCTTCTTTATGTGGCACATAATGAAAAAGTTACAAGATAAGGTGGAGAAATCAATCATGCAAGAAGAAACTGGTTTCCTAAAAAAATTATGTGCTTGCGTTTGACATTTTGAAATTGAACCTGCTGAGTTTGAAGAAAGGTGGAACAAGGTGATGGTTGAATACCACTTGGAAGAACATGAGTGGTTAGGTTATATGTACAAGATAAGGGACAAGTGGACTCCGGCGTATTATAGAGATGTGTTCCTTAGAGGAATAATGCGTACAACATTAAGATCTGAAAGTGAAAACAATTTTTTTCTACTCCTTTATTAATCCTCATGTATCACTTATTGAGTTTTACTTGAGATATGAAGCTGCATGATGCCCAAAGACATACTCAAGGTCAGAATGATAATGATTCAAAGCACAAATATCCCGAGTGCAAAACACCACTAGGGATAGAAAAGCATGCCTCACATTTATATACTAACTCTGTCTTTTATGAATTTCAATATTAGGTTGAAATTGCTTGTTTTTCTTGTGGTGTTGATGAATTGAAGAAAGAAAATGGATTGGAAGTTGCAAAAGTAAGTGAAGGAAATCGGATTAGAACATTTGATGTTGTGTTTAATCCAACTAACTATGGCACCACATGTTCTTGCAAGCTATTTTATAGACAAGGAATTCCATGTAGACATATGATTTGGGTTTGGAAAGCAAAAAGGTTTGAAACCATTCCTGAGCAGTACATGCTACACAGATGGACTACTATGGCAATGAAGAAACCAATTTTTGACTTGGGAGGAAACCTGTTGGAGCAATGTGCTAATATAATTGACAAGAAAAATTGTTAAATGAATTATGGTCAGATATACACACTTGTGTAAGTTTGGCAGAAGGAAAAGATGAAGATATTCAAGACCTTGTGATAAATCTTCAAGGAATAAGAAAGGATTTGGAGGCTAAGAGGATTGCAAGAAATAATGAAACAGCAGCTGAAAGTGCAAACAACAAAGAACAAGACATTGAACTGTTGATTAGAGCTAGTGTGCAACTGAAATAATTGTCAAACCTCTTAAAATTTCAAATAATAAAGGGACTTGAGTTCATGTATCAAATGAAGAGATTTCAAAAAAGAAAGGGGCTGAGATTGATGTGCCAAATGTTGAAACAAGAGGTACAGGTGCAATAAGGTTGAAGGGAGAAAAAGAAAAGGCTGTAGAACAAAACTAGAAAAAGAAGAGATTATGTAGAGGTTGTGGTGAATTGAGTCATCATGATATTAAAAATTGTTCAGAAAAAGTGTAATGATACTTTTATATAATATATTTAGCACATTGCATCCCCTCATTATTTATCGAACATATAGAAATTTTGTGCTTTTAATTTTGTTGAAATTTTGTTGATTTTATATTTTTTTTTACAGAATCAATTATGTGTCAAATGAGATTTCAATTATTTGTCAAATGAGCCAATAGAAAATAATTACTTACTCTTTTGTAAAATAAGCAAACATTTCTTTGACCATTTGGAAAATGAGCAATCAATTTTTTGCTCATTTAGCAAATGAACAAATAGTTAGTTGCTCATTTGTCAAATGAGCAAATATTTCATTGCTAATTTAGCAAATGAGCAAATAGTTAGTTGCTAATTTAGCAAATGAGCAAATAGTTAGTTGCTTATTTGTCAAATGAGCAAACATTTTTTTTTATCATTCATTAAATTAACAAGAATTTCTTTGCTCATTTGTGAAATAATCAATCAATTATTTGCTTACTTGACAAATGAACAAATAGTTCGTTGCTCATTTGTAAAATGAGAAAATAGTTCAAATAAACGCTAGGTATAATTGACAAAGTATTTCAAGTAAACACAAAAGATCCAATTTAAATATAACCACCACAAAAGTAACCATAATCAAAAGTCAACACAAAAGATCCAATTTCGATTCAAATATTACCACCATTTTTACATCATTCAAAGACTAACAAAATTCTAATTTTGATTCAAACTAATTATCTTATTTTGATTCAAATCAACACTACTAAACAACTTACATGTTGATACAATCATTCTTTCTCTACTTCCCTAAACCTAGAAAACCATATCAACACCACCAAGTATCTAAATCAACATTACACCAAGTAAAATACTGAGCTTTTTCTTCTTAAGCTTTTTCTTCTTCAGCCTTTTCTTCTTCAGCCTTAACAGAAACTTTCTTCTACTTTTTCTTCTTTTGAGGAATTTCTTTAACGGACTGAATTGCCTTTAATTCACTTGAAATTATTGACAGGGTGTACTTCACAGGAAGGTTTTCTATGATTATCACCTGTAAGAAATAGAAAAGAAAAAATAAAACAACAAGAAAATTTTAAAAAATATAAATGCACGAAGGAGGGTGAAGCAAGAAGCAGAAGAATAGAATAAGTACTAAGAAACCCATATATTGGCCATAGCCAGAATTTAATAATCGTCTTTTTTTATGATTAGATAAAGCTTATTCAGACTCAAAATCTGGCACAAAGTCTGATTTCTTTTACCGTTATTTTAAACGAAAAGTGGCTTGAAATTTTGCTAATAAGCTGCACAGACTGTTTATATTCATATACAACATACTTGATATGTAAGCCAAGACTATTAGATGTTCTTATTACTTTATAAATTATATTCTAGCTTAATCTTGTATTAGAAGGCAAATATATCAGTAGTAATGTGCAACAAATATATACAGAAGAAGAAGAATAAGTTAGATCCGCTTAAAATTGTGTTATTGATCCGATTTATATTGTGGTAGCATATCAATAAAGAATAAAGCTTTACAACTTTTAAAGATTCACTGGGTTCACTGCACTTTGGCTCAATGGCTCTACAGTTCATAGCCCAAGTTTCAGCCGAAGTGGAAAAGGGAAGGTGGATGATTGGGTGTGCAAGGTTACTTTAGCAAAGAATAATTTGCTCATTTGAAAAATGAGCAAATTACTGGCTGCTCATTTGACAAATGAGCAAGATTTATTTCCATAAGCAAATAAGACTTACATTATTCTTCTTCAAACCTAAATACCACTTTGACAAACCCATGTATGTTTTCATAAGCCTCATCAATGCAACTCCACAATGCAAATGATTGATATCTATAGACTTCCAAGGAGAATTAATTGCAACATACTTCATGCGCTTGATATCGCTTGACAACACAGAGCCATATACATTTCCTCCATATTGCATAAAATTGCAAAATCCACTCTGAAAATAAACACATCAAATGAGCAAACATAATGGATATTTCTAAAATCTAATCATTTTACTGAAATAAGCAAACATAATGTTAATAGACATTAACTTTTAAGTCGTACCAAATGCTTTAAAAGCTGTGTTTGATCTCCGGAATATTCACTATAATCAATAACCTCGATATTACCATACTGTGTGGTAGTGTTGAAACATACCAAATGATAATGATCTTTTTCATAAACTTGGAAGAAGAAAAGTTGAATGTCCTTCTTTGGGACAACATTTTGGCCATATAACAACTCATCAACCTCACGAAACATACCATTCCGATGACTAACAGAATCAATCCCATAATGAACAAGACACTCCTACATGTTTAAGAAAAAAAATAAAATTAAATACAACAGGAATAATGTAGAATAATTTAATAAAACAAATAAATGAAAGAATATGAACTTATAGTAGCACAAAGCTTAAAAAAGAAACGAGCAAGAGAATTTGAGTCTCTAAATTTCTCATTATAATTCAGAATACTACACCAAGCATTAATGATTACTGAATCAATTGTATCTTGAGTATAAGGCTTTTCAAGTTGAAATCTCATGATTTCAAAATCATCCTCTCCATTAACTTTGGATAAAAATACTTGTTCACTGCATAAAGGAATTAAGAAAGTTAGTATCACTAAAACAAATGGTAGTTAGTGTACAAGATAGCAAATTCTATAATAAAAAAAAATACTTACAAATGATTTTTATCATAATCAAATAGAGCTTCCAAGACACATTTTTGAACTTCTGATAATGTAGAGTAAATGTTGATAATCCGAGCCTTAAGAGTTGATCTAAGCAGCATTGATGGTTGAACTTTACGCTTCTTTAGAACAGGAACATCAGCAGCACCTACAGCAGAAGGACCAACATCTCCACTCAGAGGAACATCAGCATCAGCAGCAACTGAAGGTCGTACGGTGGTTGGGGAGTTCTTCAGATCATCAATATTTTGAGAATCAAATCCTAAACTGAAAGTAGGAGTTACAAATCCTTTTTTAATTGAAGATCTCAATCTAGATCGAATACTTGAACCTCCTTCAGCTTTTTCAGTTTCAACTACAATAGCATGACCTTCATTTTTAGAAAGACTATTTGCTATCTGAACACATTTAGCAGCAATCTTTGTAACATCAATGGCTTCTGTTACGGTTGGACAATCAGCCCTAGCAAAGACCGAGGATTCAACATTCTTCTCAATAGCTGAAATCTTGGAAAATCTATCCCAAGCTTCAATGACAGCTGGATCTTGCCAATACTCATCGTCTTGGCTAAAAGAAAGGCTATGATATTCCGGCATAGCTTAGGAACTCAATCTTTGCTCGTCACAAATACCCATGGCATCTTCCCTCAGCTTCCATATTTTCTCATTGTGAGGAAAATACTTGACAGTTTGTTCATGCTTTTCATTAAAGTCAATGTATGCCAAAACTAGGTTTGTAGATGCTGTTGCAAGCTCCATAAGGCATTTCTGTAAAAAAAAAATACATAATAAAATAAATATAAATGAAAAGAGTAAATATGAAATGAGAAAAGTGATATGAAATGAGCAAAGTCATATAAAAATGAGCAAAGTGAACTTTATTTGACAAATGAGCAAAAAAAATTTTGGTTTCCAGAAAAATTATTTAAATACCTTCTTTGTGTCTTTTTCAGTTTCTTCATTTTTTGTACTAATTGGATCAGATTGTTCCTAAAATCAAGCAAAAAAAAAAAAAAAAAAAGTTAGAACAAGTTGAAAGCAAATATCCTAATTATTTTCTCATTTGACAAATAAGAAAAGTGGACATGAAATAAGCAAAGTCATATAAAAATGAGCAAATTGAACTTTATTTGACAAATAAGCACTAAAGTTTTTGCTCATTTGACAAATGGGCAAAAAATTAATTGTTCATTTAACAAATGAGCAAATTTTTTTTTGCTGATTTAGGAGGTCCATTGATGTGCCATATAGAGCGCCAAATTGCATCATTTTCGTAAAGGCAAGATTTGTTCCAATTCAATTCTACAAGCAATGCCAAAGGCATAGAAAAGCTAAGTATTGGTTGAAAGTGAAATACCATTTTTGGTTGTTTGCTGCCAGAAGGACCAACAAGTTTTAGATTTTTATCAAAAAGTCCAAGCATCCCCTTAAAAATTTCCAATTTCTCACGACTAGACAGCATATTTGTTGTCCAATCTTTGAGAACTAGAGTTTCTCGTTTGGCTTTAACTTCCTCAATGACAAACTATCAACATATAAAAGCTACAAACAAGTTAGATAGAAATAATTAGTACATTAAAATTAAACAAATAAATAACAATTAATACATAAAAAATTTAAAAATAAAAACTTAGAAAATACCAGCCCCACCCCCTACTGCCACCTACCCACACAAACCTACCAACACATTTCAATTTAGTAGCTGATCACAATTCTGATTTTAGAAACTGATTTCAAAATCTGATTTCTGAATCTAATTTCAGAATCTGGTTTCAGATTCTATTACAGGTTGTGAGTGTGTGTATGTATGTATATGTGTATGTGCATGTGTGTGTGTGTGTGTGCGTGGGTGTGTCTCTTTGTGTGTGTGTGTATGTGTGTGTGTGAGTGTGAGTGTTTGTAATTTCTTGTTAAAAAGTGTAATGATACTTATATATATATATAAGATTTAATATTTTTAGCAAATAGTTATTTATCAATTTTTTGCTCATTTAACAAATGAGCAAATAGTTAGTTGCTCATTTGTCAAATGAGCAATTATTTAGTTACTAATTTAACAAATGAGCAAAAACTTAGTTG